TCTATCTTGCAGGTTTATATGGCATCCATGTTTGAGAATCAGTACAAGTTACTTGCTCGATCTGAAAATAAAGTACAGGAGGTAAGTTAATTAGGTTTTGCTAGTTTTATTGGCTATCCAACAGAACTAGATAACAATACTCTGGTGTTGCCGAATTTGAAAATCTCATGCTTTTGATAAATTCATTGCTGAAGAGGCAATAGTTTTTATGGAACTCATCTAAATGTACATGTTCCTGAAGTCTGACTTTTATGCCTTGACCAAATGACCCTCCTGCTTCCCTACCCTTCATGGTTGATTACAAAAATTTTATTGAAAATAATTCCAAAAATGTCATCCATTTATTGCTGTTCCATCTAATATATGATCGCATTTGCTTTTCTCAACCAAAACCCAGAAAAAGAAATGCGACATTAGTAGCATTTCTTAAAAGTGACACTTAAGTGATTATATTAGAGTGAAGAATCAATAATTGATTGCATTACTTTTTGCAGGTTATAGTTCAAGCATCACTGGACAAGGAAGAGATGAAGTCTGTGATTCTAACATGTACCAGCAGAGTGGGCTAGCTATGTTCTTTTTTGTTATCTGGGTTGTAAACTTGGAGAAGGCAGTTTCATTCATGATGAGCATCTTTAGAAATTTTGTAGAGAGGTAGAAAAGGATCGAAATTGTTTGTTCATTTTGTAGAGGCAAGGGTCTGTAAATCCTCCAAGCTATAATGAAAAATCACATGAATATAAGTAGGATTTATTTAATTTAGCACTATTACAAGGGGATTCAAACTTGAGAGTCCCTCTTCAAATTATGAGAAAAGAAAACAAAAACTATTAGAGCACCAGTTAGTTGGTTCAGTTTTTGTTGGTCATTTATGAAATCCACAATACCTCATTTTTAAAAGTAATTTGACAATATATTTAGTATATAGGTTAGATAATATAAAGGGAAAAAAAAAATTCACGTTTCTTATTGATAAAAAGGTTTGAAGGATCTAATTTCTAAACAAACAGAGAAGAAGATGGTGGGCGCGTGGTTATACTATTCATAAAAATAGTTTTTAAAAACGACCTAAGTAAAGCCGAGGGCCTATAATATATATATAAAGAGAAACCGCCTAGCGCTTATTGCCCGCCACGTGTCAAAAACAACATAGCTGAGAGGCGATACAAGGTTTTTTTAATAAAATAAAAAAAAAATCACAGTATAGCCGTGCGGCTATAGTATTTATAAAAACATATAATAATAATAAAAACGACCTACGTAACGCTCAGCGGCTATACTCTTTTTACAAAAAAGAAAATTTGGAGTATAGCAGCACGTTTATACTATTTATATATATAATAATAATAAATTAAAACAAACGACCCACTTACAGCCCGGCGGCTATACTCTTGTTGCTATACTCGTGTTTGTTTAAAAAAATCTTGAGTATAGCCGCACGGCTATACAATTTATAAAACAAATTTAAAAAAACCAACCTATGTAACACCGCCCGGCTATACTTTTATTTATTTTTCGAAAATCAGGAGTATAGCCTCGCGGGTATACTATTTATAAAAAATAAAAAAGGGGACCAGCCTAGCGCCTATTGCCTGCCAAGCGATTCGCCAATATGGTAAATTCACACTTTTTTATATTAAAATTAAAAGAAAAATCAGATTATGCAACACAACTACTCATTATCTTTTTTAATTCTAAAATAAAATATTTTTAAAATTTAAAATTTATTATAAAAAAATTAAATATATTTATATAAAAAATATATATATAAATAAATAAAAAGGCCTCTGGCAGGCCTGGAAGCGTGTGGAGAGGCTAGTAAAAAATTAAAAGAAAAGGACATTTCTAGTTGCATTAGTTTATACTTAATTTATAGATATTAATTTTTAATCAATAATATGTGAAATTTTTGTGTATTATACGTGAATTTTGTGTGTGTTATTGAAAATTTGGTAAAAAACAAGTGTATTAATGTACGTGTACAATACGAGTATTAAACGTGAAAATGTTAAATTCTTTATACAGAAAATAACTCTGGTAATGTAAAACCTCAAAAAGAACAATAGAGACTCGGATAATAGCCTAATAGTAATGAATAATGCTCAAAACTACTCTTATCAATAAACAAAAATAGGGGAAAAACAATTTAAAAAAAGAAGAAGATCACAATGTCTATGTAAAGAGTATAGCCGCATGGCTATACTATTTATAAAAAAAAATTAAAAGAGACCCAAGTAAAGCCGGACGGCTATACGTTTTTTTTTATAAAAAAATATCCAGAGGGCTATACTATTTATTATCTATATATATAAAGTAAAAGGTAGATAATAGTACAACATTCAAAATATTAGAAAATGCCCTTGGTTAATGCAAACATTAAGAATTGAAATTATTAATTAAATGAAGATAATTTGGTAAATTCACACTTTTTCATATTTAAAAAAATTAAATTAAAAGAAAAATCAGATAATGGATCCAATTTTTATGGAACACAACTACCCATTATCTTTTTTAATTCTAAAATAAATTTAATTTTTTTTTAAAAAAAAAGCCTCTCGAATGCGCGGAAGAGTGTGCGAAGAGGTTAGTAATAAAAAAAAAGGAATTGCCTAGTGCCTATTGCCTGCCATGTGTCAAAAACAGTTTAGCCGCTCCACTATACCCTTTTTTATAATAAAAAACCGAAGTATAGCCGTGCGGCTCTACTCTTTAAGTAACAAACACACTGATCATCTTCTGTTATTCTACTTTTTGTTTATGTTGACTGTTCTAACAAACACAGTGATTAGAAGCTATACACAGCACAAAAGCCTTTTCAACATAAGCCTTTTTCTGCAAGAAAATTGGCACATTTGAAGTGATCAAAATGTGTTATTCTCACAAAATTACTTATAATGCCTTTGTTTTTAGAAAGTAACATGTCGATGCGGCATGGTTGTGATGAGTTTGTTAAACAAACCGCACATATCGATACCTAACAATCACTGGCGGACCTAGAAATTTTTTAGCAGAAGTACAATTTTGAAAGACTAAAAACTCTTTGTGGATTGAACATCTAAGGTTTTTACCTAGATAGGTTCCTTATACATGAAAAATTGTTTTATGTAAAAATATTGACCAAGTATGAAAAATGGTTTTTCGGAATAATCATTTTCTCAAGATAATTTTTACGGCTTTTATTCCTTACACATCAAATAAGAAAACTTGATTTTAGTATGAAGTATACATTGACTTAATGAGCCATCATTTTTAGCCTAAATCGTATTTTGCACTAAAACCAATTTTTCATATTTTGATTTGGTGGGAATTTGATTTTCTAGTATTTTTATTTGAATTCAAATGGGGGGTACTTCCTTATTTACATTGTAAACTTAAGTAAATGGAGTAATATAAAAATAAATGAAAGTAAAAGGACAAAGATATGGTAATCTGTACACCAGTTGAGCAAAGGGGCAATTTGAAGCACCTACAATGGTTTTTCTGGCGAGAGGAGGCACAGCTGCACCTCTTTGCGCCTTAGTGGGTCTGCCACGGCTAACAATGCGTGCCTGACACAAATATTTACTCAAGGCATCACCTTGTGTTGACTCTCTCTCTAAAATGCTATAGTTTGAGCCTCACCACTGCAGATAAACAAAATGTGTTTTTGTATCATGTTAGAGAAATTAGTTCAAGCTTGCCTAAATCTTTGTACATTTTCAAAATATACCATACTCATGTATCTGCTTCAGATCTATCTTTTAAATGCAGGTTTATATGGCATCCATGTTTGAGAATTAGTATAAGTTACTTGCTCGATCTGAAGATAAAGTACAGGAGGTAAGTTAATTAGGTTTTGCTAGTTTTAGTGACCATCCAACAGAACTAGATCACAATACTCTGGTTTTGCCTAAGTTTTATTGAACTTAATCTAAATGTACATCTTCTTGAAGTGGACACTTAAGTAGTTATATTAAAGTGAAGAATCAATAATTGATTACATTACTTTATGCAGGTTATAGTTCAAGCATCACTGGACAAGGAAAAGATGAAGTCTGTGATTCTAACATGTACTAGTAGAGTAGGCTAGTTCTGTTCTTTCTTTTTATCTGAGTTGTAGACTTGGAGAAGGCAGTTTCGTTCATGACAAACATCTTTAGAAATTTTGTAGAGAGGTAGAAAAGGATCGAAATTGTTTGTTCATTTTGTAGAGGCAGGGGTCTGTAAATCCTCCAAGCTATAATGAAAAATCACATCAATATAAGTAGTATTTATTTAATTTAGCACTATTACTAAGGGATTCAAACTTTAGCGTCCCTCTTCAAACTTAAAACAAAAGAAAAAAAAAAAAAAAATATATACACGAGTTATTTGAGTTCGGTTTTGTTTAGTCACTTATGAAATTCACAATATCTCATTATTTTTAAGCAATTTGATAATATATTTAGTATATAGGTTAGATAAAATAAAGAGAAAAAAAATTTCGGTCCAATGGATTACCAAAAAGAAGGAAAAGAAAAGAAAATTTTCACGTTTGTTATTGGTAAAAATATTTGAAGAATCTAGTTCTCAACAAACAAAGAAAAGAAGAATCTATGATGAGTGAACCGAACTACGTCGACAAAAACAGTCAACGTCGTACTTTCAACTTTGACTGCAAGGTTAGCTTCCTGAATAACCTGAATAAGCGTGGCCTTGTTTCGGTTATCTCGGTGTCGTGTCGTGTCTGCTAGTAAAATCCATGGGGTCATGAACCATGTGCAGGCGGTTCTCTATTGACGAAAATACCCTTAATAAATCATCATTATCCCCCTCTGGCGCCTTCCCTGTAATTATCTCCGAATGCCACTTGCTTCATCAGCTCAGAACCAGAATATTCAAAACCCTGAAGAAAAAGAAAAAAAACTGTGACATCTCTCTCTCTCTCTCTCTCTCTCTCTGTGTTGCTTCTTCTTTAGTGCAAAGTTTAGAAAAGATTAGATAAAGAGAAATAGTGGGGTGGAGGAAGAGAAAAGAGAGAAATGGGTATGGGAACAAGCACATTTGTCATCAGATGGATCAACTTTCTCACCATGGTATGTTTTTAACTTTTGTTTTTTGTGGGAGCTTTGCGAAAACTGAAAAGATTGCTTCTTTTTGTTCTTTTTGTTAACTCCATTTCTGGGCATTTGCTTATTTGAAGGCCAGTTATCTCCTAAATGACTAAATGGGTTTGTTTCTGTTGCTGGGTTTTGATGCTCAATGCCCGTGCTCCAAGGTCTAAAATTTGTTTTGTTAATGTGCATTGGGTTTTCTTTCAGACCATATGATTTTGATGCTTTTGTTTTGTCCATGGTTGTGCAAAGTTTTCTGTTTTAGTCTTTACATTGTCATGCGGCGGCATAAGGTTTTTAGCTTGTTTGTTCAACTTCAAATTGTCGAAGAAAACCTGTTGGAATTTATGTTATTAGTTAGCTTATTTAAGTAGTGAGAAGCTCTAGCTGAAATGTGCTATTGCTGTACATGAAATTTGATGGCATTCTGTTATGGCGGTATGCTCATACTATGTTATTATGTTCATTCTGCAGCTGTTAGCAATTGCCGTTGTAGTTTTTGGGGTATGGATGAGCACTCATCATGATAACTGTCGGAGATCCCTCACTCTCCCTGTTATAGGCATTGGCGCTGTCATCTTTTTTGTGTATGCTTTGCTTTTTCCATCACCTGATTCTTTGATGCATTGATATTCCAATTTTAACTCTGCTAATATCAAGAATCTACTTATGTTTGTGTTTTGTGGCTGTTAGCTCTATAATCGGCTTCTTGGGTGCGCTGAAAAATAGCTCCATACTGTTGTGGATTGTATCCTTACTGATTGATTGATTTGTTATTAAGATTATATTTCCATCTTCCTTCTTGTTTGTTCCTTGACTTTTCCTGTGTAGTATCTGATTCTCTTGTGCTTCATATCGGTGGGAGTTTTGGTGTTCACGGTATTAGCGTAAGTAAACATCATGCAGAAGCTCAACATTATGTAATTCAGTTTATATTTCATGTCGCGTTTCTGTATTATTTGATTTTTCTGAAACAGTTGATTGAAAAGTCTGAAGAGATGTATATAAAGGCCTGTAACATTTGGATGGGGCATTTTAGAAAAACTTCAGTCACAAGTGGGATGTTTTTTTTATTAACCGAATAGGGTAATTTAGATCAGAAAGACAAAATATTATTGGCTTACCTCCTGGGATTTGAAATGAAATTGGTTGGTCTAAAGGTCCAAATTTCCATGTACTACAGAAAGGAAGTTTTGTTTATGACCTGACGATAGTGCTGTCTACTATGGGATATGTTAGCTTATTGTCTTCTTTTGGTGGATTCCTAGGCGTCATGGTAAATAAAATAATAACCAATATTTATTGAGATATCCTAGATGGTTTGGAGGTAGAATAAAATCAATTTAGTATATAGATCATGTACAAAGATATCCTGGATGCGATTAGTCTGAATTTTGTTGTTGTAGAAAGATGTATTATGTGCTTGGACATGTTTTATTTAGTAAAGGCCAGTCCTCATGTAGATAATACTATACGTTGGTTAATTTGGAAGGTACTTCATCATCCTAAGATGCAAGCTGATACAGGGGTTCAGCTTGTATCTTAGGATGATGAAGTATCTTCTTGTGTCAACATGTTGTTATGCTGGAATATGTTTGTGAAGATACATTTTTTCCCCCTTAAAGATACAGTTGATATGTGATCTTTTTTAAATAGTCAGTATATTTTCTCAATCTCCCTGCATTTAATGTTGTGAATTTAGTTTTCCCCCAATTCAATTTGTGAGTTTTGACTCGCTGGCTTACACCAATTCAACATCTGCTCCTCATTGGTTTAATTTTCATTGTGCCTGTTTCATGAGTGCACAGATTTACTATTGCTCATGAATTTGATCTTGCACAATTTTTTGCCTTTACTTGTAGGTTCATTGTTACAAATAATGGTTCTGGTCATAGCGTAGCTGGCTTGAGGTTAGTATTCATTTGGTCCCTCATCTTGCTTTTCGGATGGGTATAATGCTGATTTATAACATCTACTTCTGAAACTATCTGAGCAGTACTATGAAAAATATACAGAAAAAAAAGATTCTGTAAAAGTTTAGCAGCTTCAAATCATCTTAGGAATGCAGCCACAAGTTTCAACTTTATTTTGTCAGAAGACCACTCTTTAGGAATAAAAAGAAAATTATTTCTTTATCCTTTTTTTTTCTTTTTCGTATGCACTGGTCAGCTAGGATTGGTATGATGGGTGCAATTAATATCTTCTTGTCTGGTCAGGTACAAGGAGTATCAACTCCATGATTACAGTCCATGGTTTGTAAAACAAGTAAATTTCTTTTGCTCTTTTAGCCGTGTAAAATATTGATATGAAGTGCTAACTTTGGTATGCATTTATTGATATCAGTTATTCATTTTCTTGTTTTAGTTGAACAATACCCGTAACTGGAAGCACTTACAGAGCTGTCTTGTGAAATCTGATGACTGCAAAAAGCTATACAAAAAGTATAAGGTCCAATTCTTAACTTGTTTAAATTTCTTATTTGTCTCCCATCACCTAGTTTTGATTTTCTTTCCCTTTTCTTTTCCATTGACTAAAGATTTTTCACTGCACTTGTCGGATGCAGACTCTCAAGCAATACAAATTGGCAAAGCTAACCCCTATCGAGGCTGGTTGTTGTCGACCGCCATCTGAGTAGGTGTCATACTTCTATTTTTCATTTTTGTGTCTTTTTGTTCTTTGGTAAGTTTCCTTCCCATCACCCTCCTGGGCGTCTTTCTGCTTTCCAGGGGAAAATCAAAATGCTTCCTTTTATATTTATGTATGCATAATTATTTTATAATAAGGTCCTTGATTAAATTGTTTAAATATGTATTTGTATCTCAACTGTTAGATAAGATATGGACAACTAAGATGTATTGAGACACATCTTACATTTTCTGATCTAACGGTTGAGAAACAAATCGTTATTTAAGGACATTTTTAAAGATTTTTACTAGAGAATAGATTTATTATTTAATGTTTTCATATATTCTATGTGATTGTGTCAGCTTCCCACTTTTATACATATTTGTGTTTATTATATTATTGTATCAGTTTGGTCAGGGGAGAGAACAAATTAAGTTGTTTTCCTCAATCATTTTATGTGGTTCATGGTCCATGGAAGTTTAATTAGTTTATATGCAGTTTATTTCAGACATAATTCAGACTTGAAACTCCATCTTACTGATATTACCAATTGCTGGGATTCAACTTTATTCCTAGATGCGGTTATCCTGCTGTTAATGCTTCATACTATGACATGAGCTTCCACCCAGTTAGTTCAAACAAGGACTGCAAACTTTACAAAAATGCCCGGGACATCAAGTGCTACAACTGCGATTCCTGCAAGTAAGCATCACCTCTATCTCAATTTACTTTTTCTTTTCTTCTTTTGTATAAATTTTCTCACTTATATTTGCCATACTTCTATCATTTTCAAGGGCCGGAGTTGCACAATACATGAAAACTGAGTGGAGAGTGGTTGCGATCTTTAACGTGGCTCTATTTGTTGTTCTGGTGAAGCATTCTCTCTTACTACTTGATGAGATTCTCTTGAATTAATAATGAAAGCTGAACTGCCTATAAATCATAAAACTATCGAATTCCAAAAAATTTAAATCACAATAGTGGCCTTTTTCTATGCAATGTGCATTGGCTGAAGATTAGTGAAAAAAGATTTACTACATTCATATATTTGGTCTCTTACCGAGAAGGATTCAGTAACTGACTTTCTACCATCTTCTACTCTCAATATGCTCCTGTGAGTGCTTGATTTCCTGACCTTCTTTTTGTTGTGCAATGTCAGTCTATGATATATTTTGTGGGATGCTGCGCAAGACGAAATGCAGCAACAATCCGTTCTAAAGATTAGAAATGGCCCTACCTCAGAAACCCTCCAAGGGGGAGAAAACTATCGTCCCTGAAGATCGATTTGTGCAACCCGTGAATGATTTCTTCTTCTTGTTGATTGAAACAAAGAAATTGTTCCTTCATACAAAGGGTCAGTACTTTCTGGCTGGAGGCTATCTGTCTAAAGTTTTTGTAAAAAATGATTTATGATTCTATGGAAACAAATTATATAATTTCTTTAACAGTCAGAGATTTGAGTGTGAAGTATTATTTTCCCAAATGTCTCTATCTCTCTCCCAAATTTTAACATGAGACCACATTGTTTAGTGATATTTCTTTCCAACATGAATTGAAAAAGAAGAGAAGAGATCTGGAAATTGAAACCTTTATTAAAACTAAAATTTATTGTTCAAAACACATTGTGCATACACACGTACATGTCACATGTGCATAGGTATATTATAAGCAAACAACTATATCATTTTACATCTCAAATTTTCATTCAAAGGTTGACAATTCAGTCTGTTCAAAGTAGCGGCCAGAAACTGTAATATCCGGCAACAAAGCCGCCTTCACCGGACCTTTAGCAGCTTCTTCAGCTGTGAGGATACCGGTATAATTGTTCATGTCTGTGGCGGTAAAACCAGGACTGACTGCGTTAATGGCAATGCTAGGATACTTTTTAGCCAAGACTCTGGTATAAGCATTCAGAGCTGCTTTGGATACAATGTAGGCAGATTGATTAATAGGCCAGCTTTTGGCTTCAATCAAATTGTGCTTCACATCCTCCAAAAATCCCTCAACTAAGTTGTCCACTTTCTCTTCTGTGAGGCTATCACCGTCTCCTAGCACCTTCTTGGCTTCCTCATTTGGAATAACCTAAAAATCAATAAACCGATATGTTTGTATCAATCTAACAACATAACATAACATATTGTTGTATATAGATTTATGATTCGGGTTCGGTTGTGTACCCTTAGTTGTCCCAATGCAGAGGAGACATTGACTACCCTTGCCGAGTCGGATTTTTGAAGAAGTGGAATAAGTGCTTTTGTGAGCTGCTTAATTCCATAGTAGTTTGTTTTGAAGCAATCCCCTGCTGTCTCGTAGGTTTGCTTTACATATTCATTCTTGATACCATTGGGACCTATAAGCTGCATCGGTATTTGCTCTCGTCAATGATATATTCATTAGTAAGTGATGCAAGTACATCAAAATATATCATAAAATTGTTAGCTTAGCTTGATACAGATTGAGTTCTAGTTTTTTTTTTGTCTAAAGAAATATCTGAATTTTATTGACTTACATCCTCAGGCCTAATTGCCAACTTCTCTTTGTCATCAGTGAGGAATAAAGATCCAATAACTCCTGCATTATTGACCTGCAATATATTTATAAATAAAAAAACACACATTTCTGTTATAAGTGGTTAAGAAAAATAAAGTGATGAGAAGAAAAGATAACATGCAGTTTCCACAAGAAGATGCATAGAGAGAGAGAGAGAGAGAGAGAGAGAGAGAGAGAGAGAGAGAGAGAGTTACCAATATGTCAAGCTTTCCAAACTGAGTTTGGAGAAAATCAGCCAGAGAAGCAATGCTAGTTTGGTCAGTGACATCCAGCTGATGAAAGACCACATCAGAGAAGCCAGAAGCCTTTAGCTTCTCAACAGCTTCCGTGCCCCTCCTCTCATCTCTTGCAGTTAATATCACCCCAACTCCGTTAGAACCTAATTGCCTGCTTATCTCAAATCCAATCCCTTTGTTGCCTCCAGTTACAACTGCAATCCTATTTTGAGGAAATTCAAAACCAAAATTAAGAAAGAATTTTAATTCAATGGTGAAATTAACAAACAAATTGAAAGAATGATGTACCTCTTAGACCCAAAAGTGATTGTTGTTTCTTCCATTTTCTGTAGATGATGGTTTACAAGGAATTCCAAGTGCTTTTGCTTTCTGTTCTTGAAGATATTTATAGTTTATTTATCTACTAAATTGTCAAAGTTGATTCAACCTATGAGTCTTTTCTGGTTGCGTATGCCATGACATCTTTCCAAAGTGCTTTTGCTTTTGCTTTCCACGGCGTCCACGGCCCCGCAGCCAACATGAATTGTTGGGGATATTATATTTTCCCGTATTGACTTTTTTTTTATAATGAAATGGTCTTAAGTTCTCTGTTGTCCATGATTGGCGTGCAACAAATTATATTATTTCGATTGAGATCCATTGAGGTAAGGGCTGACAAAGCTTCTTATTATTTCTATGTTTAGGGATATCACATTTTTAACAAAATATTTTTGTATTTAAATGCATAACTCCGTATCCTTTTGTTGAATTTAGAAAGAAAATACTTATAAGACTCGGACTCGTGTGTGGGTTAAACACTCTTAACCACTTGTACGACTTTTTTTTTCTCTTCCTTAAACTGAAAATATAAAAAAGTAAATTTAGGTTTTAGCCATAAAAAAATTTTCACTTTTGGGAAAAGCCAAAGCTTTTTTAAAAAAGACAAAAAAACCTCTCAACTTTCAAATCAAAGACATGCAAGTGTAAATGATTTCTTAGGAAATTCAAAAATAAATAAGGGTAAATTTGTCCATTTTGGCTTCTTTTACAAAATTTCTCTCTCCTTTGATTTTTCCAAAGTCTCCCGGAAAAAGAAAAAAAAACCTGAAAATAACAAGAATGGCCATTTATTGAAATTTGAAACCCGCACACAAGGAGGCCCAACAACACCATCGTCTTCCTTAAATCCTAAACAACAAAGGCCCATTTTATAGCGAAGCATGACAAACCTCTGCTTCAAATTAAAATGTAGGCCCATACCCATCGTCTTCCTTAAACCCTAAACCAGTAAAACCCTTCCCCTCTCTCTCTCTCTCTCCCCCTCTCTTCGATCACTGAATCACTAACCACACACAATATGTCCGGTTCGATCCTTTTGGAACGGTCGAGAGACTTCTCGAAGCTTCTATGCAGGCTCGTACTGACCCGACCCATGGGCGGCGGGCCCCGGACCTTCCCGGGAGGTGTCACCAAATGGAAATGGAAGCGCATGCACGAAAAACGAGCCAAAGAGAAGGAGAAGCGCCTCTTAGAACAAGAGAAACAGCTCTACGAGGCCCGTCTCCGCTCCCAAATCCGGGCCAAAGTCGCCGGGAAACCCGACCCGTTTTCAAATCAGAGTTCAGAAACCGGGCACAACCCTATGAATCCCAACGAGCACCTTAAAGCCCTAGCCGATCGGTTCATGAAAGAAGGCGCAGAAGATTTGTGGAACGAAAAGGATGGGCCGATTGATGACCGGCCTCCACCGGTTGGCTCGGACGCACGGACGAGATCGGTTACCGCACCGCCGTTAGACCTGAGGAAGCTGATATCGAAAGGTCGTGATTTGGCGGGAAATGGTAGAAGTGTAAATTTGATAAATTTGAGTGGCAATCACGTTAGGGGTAGGAACTACTCAGTTCAGAGCCGAGGGCGCTTTCGGAGAAACGATAATTCAAGTGATGAAGACTCGGATTTCGATTCAGAGGGTGAGTCCGTACAGCCCTTTGCTAATGAGAATTCGAAATTTGGGAGAAATGTGAGGAAATTAGGGAGTAGTGCTTCATTGGGGAAGTATGATGTGAAGATTATTAAGAGGAGGGTGCCCCTTAATTCATTAGACGAGGAGAGTGATTTTGCGCAGCAGGTTGAGTCGATAAGGTATGAGCTTAGTAAGAAAAATGCTGCTGGAAATGAAGGAGGGGAGGATAGGGAACTGGAGGAGACAATTCTTAGTGGAAAGAGGTATGCAAAATTATTGTACTTTGGTTGGTTTTCTTAGATTACATTTGTGGACATGTTAAAATTTTAGTCTTTGATCAGTTAAATGTGTATGTGCCCATTGGTGATCCGGTTGGTTTTCGGTTTTTGGCAGATTTGATGAGTGTGGTATATCTCCATTGACAGTCAAGGCACTGACTTCTGCTGGCTATATTCAAATGACAAGGGTACAGGAGGCTGCTCTTTCTGTTGGCCTTGAAGGTGAGGAGTTGGCTACTTGTTTTAGCCATGTTATTTGGTTCTTTCTTTCCTTGCTAAATTACATAGAACGCCTCCACTTGTAGTTCAAACCCATGTCATCCTAGGGGTGGATGAGATCCTAATCTGCTAAGGTGTCCTCTAGGGGACGTTTAGTTAATCAATTTGTCCAAATTCATATGATCATATCAAATGATCGATAGTTAATTTCTGGGTCCTCCGTCCTAATTGACTTGAAAAAAGGGTGTGACGATTCTTTTAACAAAAAAAATCAAACGGTATGCAATGATTTTCACTCTTATTTGTTACAGGAAAAGATGCATTGATCAAAGCTAAAACAGGCACCGGAAAAACTGCAGCTTTTGTGGTACATCATTTTACCTTTTTGTTGTTTTGGAGTTATTCATAGCATTTTAGGTTCTCTTTTCAATTCTCTTGTTAAACACAAACAGCTTCCTGCTATTGAAGCAGTTGTGAAGGCTAAGACTAGCAATACCAATCAACGGGTGTCTCCAGTTCTTGTTCTTATCCTCTGCCCTACAAGAGAACTTGCAAGTCAGATAGCTGCAGAAACAAATGTTTTGTTGAAGTACCATGATGGCATAGGTCTGCAAACATTAGTTGGGGGCACGCGATTCAAAGAGGACCAGAAACGTCTAGAATCAAATCCATGCCAGGTTTGTACATTTGGCTTGGTCATTGAAAGTCCTGCTTAATTTTAGTGTGGTTGTGAAGAGAGTAAGAATCCATTGTACAAATGTTTCGCAGATAATAGTTGCAACTCCTGGCAGGTTGCTGGACCACATTGAGAATAAGTCAGGCTTGTCGGTGCGATTGATGGGACTGAAAATGCTGATACTTGATGAAGCTGGCCACTTGCTAGACCTAGGATTTCGGAAGGATATAGAGAAAATTGTTGATTGTTTGCCTCGTCGAAGGCAGTCCTTGCTCTTTACTGCAACAATTCCAAAAGAGGTTCGACTATCCTTGTACTCCAAGTCTGAAGTTTAAAGGAACAATTTTACTAGGCACTTGGTATATTTGCTGTATGAAACCACTCAAAGCCCAGATTTTACTTGATTATGAATATGCAGGTTCGCCGAATATCACAGCTTGTCTTGAAGAAGGACCATGCTTTTGTTGACACAGTGGGTTTAGGTTGTGTTGAAACTCATGATAAGGTATATAACATTGACCAGTTGGTGTAGTTTCCAATATAGAATTTATTATGAATCTTGTTTTTACATTTCTGTTCAGCCTCTTAATCTGAAACAGTTTTGGTGTACATCATTTTAATTACTTTATTATAGATGGTTGAAATGGTTCTGATAATACCTGAAGCATAAAATATGACATTGGAGTCATGAATCCATCGCTACTTGTGAGTGCAGGTTAAGCAGTCATGTCTTGTTGAACCACTTGAATTGCATTTTCAAATAGTGCACCAGCTTCTGATGGAGCATATCTCGCAATCACCTGATTATAAGGTTTGATGTTATAGCTTGTGGATTCAAATGTTTGGTTGTGTTGTATGTGCCTGAGGCCTAACGTTGTATCTTTCAGGTTATTGTTTTCTGTACAACTGGAATGGTAACATCCCTCCTCTTTCATGTTCTTCGTGAAATGAAAATGAATGTTAAGGAGATGCATTCCAGGAAGCCTCAACTCTATCGAACTCGTATCTCTGAGGAATTCAAGGTATCAAAACGACTGATTCTTGTTACCTCTGATGTATCTGCACGTGGAATGAATTATCCTGATGTTTCCTTAGTCATTCAGGTATTTGCCAGCTCAATTATGTTTTTCTTATAGGTTGAACCTTAATTATATCACTGACATGTGAATTAGTTGATTTTTCTAACGTATGCAAAAATTACATGTATATCTATTTTCTGTGTACATAAATGACGTAGTGGACCAACATTAATATGTTCCGACTGAAAGCAGATGCGGTGGCTCAGCAGGAGTTCAATTTTTTTCCTTCTTAGATTTACATAGCATTCCCAAGCCTACATTGTGTATAGTGTTGGCTTTTATGTTTAATGACGATGGTAGTGCTTCTCACATTGAGCGTTAATGTATATAGTTTCTTCTTGAGTATTAGTTTCCCAATCATTGCTTAGATTTAGCGATTATGAGATTTGTTGAATTGTTTTTCTGAAAAGATGTTAGAGGCAGAACTAGCTCACTTTGCATTGATCCACTTATTCAGCTATGTGGAGATTTGTGGGGGACTCAAACATATTTGAATGCATAAAGAGCTACTCACCATAGCACATTAGAACATAAATGTCTGCATCTATTAACTATTTCACATTAAACTATCAAAGAAGGGAAAAAGGATTTAAAATATAACTGATGAATGAGTTTTTGTATGTGGCTGCATTGCCTTGTAGTAAAAGTAATACGTAGTCTGATTGTTACCAGGTGGGTATTCCTTCTGACCGGGATCAATATATACATCGTCTTGGAAGAACGGGACGAGAAGGCAAAGAAGGACAAGGCATATTGTTACTTGCACCATGGGAGGAGTATTTTCTGGATGAATTAAAAGATTTGCCTGTTGAAAAATTTCCTACGCTGCGATTGGATCCAGGCACTAAGCTTAAGGTTCTTGCATCACCTCCAATTCTATTCTTTGTATTTGTATCTGAATTCTGAATCGCATTATTGAGTTCAGATACTATTTCTGGCCATATGGGAAAGAACAAAATTTAAAATGAAGTTGAATAAAATCTGAAGAAAAAATAACTTATTGAATCAAAAAGAGGTGGTGTTTACAGTTTACAAGTTGAAGTTTCTTGAAGCTTGCTCTCTTTTCATGGTCCAATCCAACCATTGATGAAATGATTAATTAAGTCAATTTGTAGATTTCAGATTTCTGGAATTTTTACTAGACATGGCAATCAGTACCCCAATCCTAGTGATGAACTAGGTTTTGTTCATTAAAATTTCCCATATTGGTTTTATTAGTATTTAGGATATCCGCTAGTAGCTTCTAGGTTTTCATTGTCTTGTTTGTATCAGTTAGTTTGAAATACAATCATATGCAGGTTTCTTATTTGTAATGCTGGGTTTTCGCTTATTCTTGCAGATTGAGGATTCATTAGCCAAGATTGACGGTAGTGTCAAAGAAGCAGCCTTTCATGCTTGGCTTGGGTACTATAACTCAATCAGGGAAATTGGCCGGGATAAAACCACACTTGTTGAGCAAGCCAACCAATTTTGTCAATCAATCGGTTTGCAAAAACCTCCATCTCTCTTTAGAAAGACAGCATTGAAGATGGGCTTGAGAGATATACCTGGCATAAGAATACGAAAGTAGCATACATTTGGAACATGGATAAGCAACCTTCTGATTTGACTGGCTGGGACAGGAAGACAAGGAAGTCAAGGACCTTCATTCTCGTTTAAAGTGTGTAAACAGGTTCACCTAGTTCAATAAGTTGTTTCACATGAAAAGTTGTCTTATGGTGACTGCCTGCCTAGTCTAGCACTGGTTGTTGAAAGGGCTGTAGAAGCACACCTTTATCGCATGTTATTGCCATATACAATGGTTTCTTTAGGTTGCATCATGCTATATAGTGATATTTGTGAAGCAGATGTATGCCTCATTGTACATTCTATCCGTATTGTAAACATTCTAATTATAATATGAAGCTGCATGTTCTCTTTCTTACATCCTCTTCGGTGTAAAAAAGTAGAACAACTCATAAAAATGTTGATATGAACTAAAGCATCGCTAGTAGTAGAATGGCAATCGGACAAAAACTATGTTGGCTTCAGAAGGTAATGGCAGCTTTTAATTGAGTTTGGGAATTTGAGCAACTCATATCATATATATGTGAATGTTAATTATTATTGTTTGTAGTAAAAACAATGATATTTTTGGAAAGAATGAGTAAATTTTTGCGCAGCCCAAATGTCTAAATTTGATTTTCCATTTCCATGCATTCACGAGTAATGTACACTTGATTTGCGCAGCCTGAATGTCTAAATTTCACTTCCAAAAGTATACTAATTGGTGTTCGATTGAAACAGAAATTGTCTGATCATGCTGAATGGACTAATGCTGACACTCTCTTTCCTTGCAGACGTCGTAACCTCAAACAACTTGTTCTTCCACCCTGGAATGTCATAGCAGTGGGTGGATTTGAACAAGCTATCAAGAATTAATTGGAAAGAGCTTGTGTCATTGGCTGTTCCTTGTCTTTATTTTTGCGCTGAATTCATGAAGGTTATTGGTACTCATTGCAAGAACTTATCTGAGCTTAAAGTTATGTTCCCTTTGACATAGATTTTGCAAGGGCCATGCTGCCTATACATCAAAACTTAAGGTCTTTTAAGTCTTCAGAGCATAATGGTGCACAAGGAAGCTTTGGTTTTTATATTGGACAAAATGTAACATCTAGAAGTGCCTCCTTAAAGAGGACTCCGAATCTCCAGACTCCGTTGTCGAACATAAACACCTCGACAAGTCAATCCTTGACCTCATGGCTCAAGACGTTACTTTTTTGTCAGAGAGAGTCCTGCGTAATGTAAGGGGCACCATTGCAGGGTTGAACTTTGTGAGTGTAATAATGTCTGAACTATAAATGTGGACATGCTGTAAATAAAGTTTGCTTTTGTGAACTATTTCCTTTTCATGCTGCAGATAGCTTGTGTTAAGCCTGAATACGACTATAAAGGACTTTTTTTTTCTGATGAACAAAGCAACCTTAGACATTTTCTGAGCTCCAGAACTTCTGGAATAGAAAGATCATCAATTGTGACCTTAGATGTCCAAAAATTATACTAGAGTCTAATGTGATTTACGTACTTCTCCGAAGGTGAATACCGTATTCTACAACAGTCATTTTGACTGTGCCTGGCTAGTTCGCAACAGATTGCAAATTCAAGTCATCACTCAATTTGATAATGTTCCTTGATAAGGACATTAATCGTGAATTTTTCCATATAAGTTCAACATCAAAATAACACTGACGTCAGAAGAATCCCTATTTTTCTGTAACTAGTATAGTGATGTTTTGAAATAATTTATCTGCCGTGCATTTCTTTAATCAAAGACAAGGCGGCCAATGGCCATCATTACTAACAAATGTTTGCAGGCAAGAAAAATGGGAAGCAAATAATATTGTCTTCTTTTATTATAAAGGAAGTCAAATTAGGCAGCTGCTGTTTTAATGCTCAAAAGGCCGAAAACATTACTAAGATGTTCTTCTTACAGCCGAATCAAGCTCTCAATTCAGTTTTAAAACAACATGAAGAGGCTTTGAACAAAATGCTTATGGTCAAATAAAGCTCAAACTAAGAAAATAAAATAAAATCGCAAAGGGCTTGTAGCTTAAGTGAGTAAGAACTTAAGAGCATTTACTTTTGCATTCAAGGCCCGAGGTTTGATTACCCTCTCCCCAATATCCTTTGTATTAAAAACGAAACAAAACCAAAGCATACCAAAACTAAAACGAGAGGTCATGGGAAGGTGTGTGTGTCTCTCACAACCCTAGCAATAGAGGCCGTAGAGCATGTGTAGGCTTTAGAGCCTGTCCTAATCAAAATATCAAATCTAATTATTCAAGCCCTGTAATAGGGAGAAGAACTTGCACGTCACAGGAATAACACTATTTTGCTATCCCCATCTAATTACATTACGTTATGTAAAATTCTTATCACGAGTGACGGAACATGATTGGTCAGAGATAGCCTTGCTATCCCTGTGACATGCAAGTTTTTCTCCATAATAGGATCCAAAAGAAGCTGTTAAAGAACGTTATTGCAAAACTAACCTTTCAGGCTGCTGTGAAGCTACTACTAGACCATAGTCTAGGCTTCTAGTCTATCAGATATGGATGCCAAAACAAATGACGGAAGACCATATACTTTTTGCGCCCTAGTCTTGCATCCAATCAGATGATTGATCTCCTATATTTCGTAGACTTAATCTCTAGAATTGATTTATTGATTTATAAATCCAATAGAAAAAGCCCCACTTTGCCATCACGATTTTCGTTTAAGATGCCATGTTTGAAAAAAATTTCTTTTAATAAATCATTGTTGGATTCTTAACATCTAATATTGCAATAATATAATAGTGTCATCGTATGCGCCGATTATATATTACTTTTCTCTCGCAATGTGTTCTAGATTCCACATACATATCATGAAAAGGAGACTATACAAACATTCTCACCGTCACCAGCGTTATTAATATGGCATTTATCTTAACCTAAATCAGTTCATCATCTTGACTCGAATTGCAAACAATGAGAAGAGCATTATTTCTTAGGGTCGGTGCAAGCTGATGACGTTCCAAAGAAAACTATAAAAACTAGAAGACAACATTGTCTTTGAATGGATTCACTTCAACTCAGACACGCCACACTTTGGAAACTTCAAAACCTCATCAGTTTTCTTGTCCACCTAAACTACTATCATGGTGGTCAATTAAGTCAGCATTTATACGTAAGTAACTGTCAACTGTTGATGTAACATTATACCTACTATTTTTCTTGTATTAAAAACTCTTACCTAACCTAATTATAATTCATTTTCTCATCCATCCTTGCCACTTGCCGGCTTACAACAACAGACCTGTTTTGTTCTAAATCCTCTTTGCATTAATCAACTTTTCATGAATTTTCCTTTTTGAGGGGCCCTATTATTTTGTCATTGGAAGATTGGAAGAATGATGAAGGATCAATGGGAGCCCACATTTGGGTGTTTGTGTTTGTGTGTATGTATGGTACAACTTGTTATTAATAATCCTGCTGGAAGATACTTAATTAGTCATCTTATGGCCATCCTTTGATATCCAATTAGAATTAAATCAATAGCTTATAAGCCAAAACACGTGATGGTGATGCAGCAAGCAAACCGTAAGAACACAGACCGTGGAAGCCACGTGTCGGTGGGATCTTGTACCAAGTGTCTCTAACTGTACCTCAAGTCTTCACCAATAATTACAGCACAAAAAACTATGTACTAAAATCAGCATAGAAAAAAACAATTAATGTTTAAGTCAACTCCCCACAGCCCATCACAAACCGTTTTTCACATTTACACTTCATTGGGTACTAAAAGACCATATTAGCCTTCAAATTTAAAGAATTAAGTTCAGAAAAAGTACAGAAACATGCATCTGTTTACATGTAATCACACTCTCAGAGCTTTCTGCAATGACCTGCAAGGCTGCAACACAAACCATCTTCGATTAGTATAGTTGGAAACAACAGCTACATGCAGAAAACTGCAGAAAGAGACGAGTATTTTTCTAAGTTTGGGCAATTTGGGTATTTTAAAGGATGTTTTCGCAAATACGCAACGAAAATCGGGCATTTATGTAATTTCAGTAGAATTAATTGTGAGTTTTGGCTCTATCTTTCCTACAGGTTGCCATCCCATATTAAAAGACTTCACGCCTGCTTGCATTTGAGGAATGAGAGAACATACTCAGTTTTCCTAACTTGCTTCCTTTTTCTTTGTAAGAAATACTGAAATTTATCATCCCAAGAATCATGAGAATTCAGCATCTCAGAGTTGTATGTGTGGTCTTCATGATCATGCTTATGATCAGTCAGATATCAAGTTATCGTCACATCCACAGAGAGACAGCTAAAGAATCCAAGCAAACAGATAAATCTGAATCCTATTCCAGGTTCTCATGGCATTTCTCCACAGAAGCTCCAGAGGTATCCAGCAGCAGAGAGGAGATCGGCCCCCTCAAAGGCGTTTCTCTACGAGAAGTTCCACAGGGACCAAACCCTCTTCACAACTGATCAGCCCTCTTGAAATTAAGTGTGTTATTCAGTCAGACAAATACTTTTATCAGTTTCTAGTGTAAATCTTTTTTTCTTTTTTTTTGTACTCATAGTCTCATAGTCATAGATCCAGTTGGGAAAGAATGTGAGCAACTCTAGTCTATGAACAAAGTGTAAGTCTGTAAATAGTTTTTGATTGAATGGTAAAAAAATTTATTACACATGTTCTCAAGAGGGGCTGCATTATGTGGTGAATATCTTAGTTGAAGAAATAGATAATATACTGATCTGAATAATCTTGATCTTTTCTCATTCTATCACTAAATAAATATTATAGTTCAAAGAAAAAGTTCAGAACCTACAAAGCAAGTTCTTGTAGAAAAGGTTTTCAAAGTACAAGAGATGACCAGCTAACTTAATTACATCACAAACTAGAAGTGTGTGTGTACTTATAAAGCATCTGTAATGCTGTATATAACAAGTCAACATGCAAACACCATCTAATTGATTTTGTCCTGGGTGGTGGGGCACAGTTTTGGCTCTTGTGGAGTATAAAATAGTTGAAATTTAAAATATTCATAATCTGTTTGCATATTTATGTGTTAGTTTGTTTTTCCATATGAGGTCAAACAATAGATTTGGAAGGATTCTCTGATGTAACTTCCATGTTAGAAGAAAACAAATGGGAAGGTAGAAAATTTTAAGTACATATGCCAATGCAATGTACATAAAATTAGTTTCTTTTATTCATCCTGAAAACACATAGAAGATTAATGTTACAAGCAACCCAGCGCTGTGGAAGTTTGACTGATCAGAATGATATAGATCCCTCACAAAGAATTTTCCTCTAAATGCAGGTGATGATTTGAAATCATACCAGAAATATTATGAATAAAATATACAGATCCTAGTCCTACTGTATGGTAAACACTTTTTCCTCTTATGAACTCTAAGGATTGGACTGATTAGATTGCTTGAATTTTGAACAGAGGATTTTTCAAGATGGATTGAGTGCACGGTAGATGGTCCTGACACCAATACATTGCACACTTTCGCGTTTAGACAAGATAGACAGAGCTTCCAACCAAATACATACATTATAAGATTTAGTACTCTTCATAGATTTCGTGGTTTAGGCAAATAGGGGAAACAAACGTCAAAGAATTTTCACTACATAATCTCACTGCCGACTGGATCTACTGAAAAATGAAGCGAAAGTGTTTTCCGAGTGATTTGATCAAACTTAGACTTCCATATCTGCAATTTTGTAAAATTTCCAAATGTTAATGAAATGTCGGTTGACTGCAATGGAGACAAATCTAAGAGCTATAATTCCAAAATGTGTCTGCACCTCAATTAGGCAAGAATCAAACTCTATACTAGCTGGTACAAAAGATTGGGAACACTTAAAAGTTTTCATCATGGACTCTAGATGTTTAGAACTATATTTTTTTTCTTTTTCTTTTTTGGGTTTAGAGTAAGATTTGGATAAGCATGCATTCTATTTAGGTTCATGCCGAAGTTGATGGGGAAAAATAGGATCGAAATAGAAACAAACTACTCACTTCTTTGTACTCTGAGCTTCCCACAAATATCTCAAAAGCGTCAACTACAAAATATACCAGTGAATGACAGTCAACAAAACAAAGGCAGCATGTATGTGAATCTACATAATGCAAACAAGAACTCACGAGACCGAAATCTGATCACTACTCCATGTGTATACTCCTTGCTGCTGGGATTAAAATTCAGACCTGAAAATCAAATCCTATAAGATATGATACATAATTATTTCGAACCACACATAGGAATTTCTACTATATCATCAGAATAAATATTGTAAAAACAGAAACAAAAGCTAAGAGAAAATAAAATATGCTTTGTTTTGCAGTTAATCAGCTTTTAGCTCAAACAAACCTTGAGTAGATTGGACTATTATGGACGGAAATCCCATAATAAGCCCTTCCAAAGAAACCAATGCCTCTTCCACGCGTCCAGATGCATTATCAACCAAGGAAAGAAGAAGCACAAACTCCACACCGAAGTTGAATTCCTGCTTGCAAGAGCAATTAGCTTCCCTTTTGAGAAAGAACTTTTAGATCCAAGAAATCACAAACAAAAAGCACGTGGAAATGTCTAGAACCAAAAGAGTTTAGAAAATTAGGTTGCAACCAAAGTGGTTCAGAAAAATTAGAACTTAAATGCCAATAAGCAAAGTCATGTATTGTTTTAAAAGCATTAAAATTATTTTGAATGCATGCATCTTCATTGCCATAATTAGAAATGAGATATAAAGTATGTGAACTCCTGTGTACTAGACAAAGAATCTAGTATCTGAACTCGAAATAATTTTATTTAATCAATAAAACCAAATTGGGAAGGATGTTGCTTCCAACCTCTCCTTTGCGGAATATAGGTATGATATCGTCTTCTACTTCAGATTCGTAATCCACATTAGTCAATCCCTGTTTATGCACATTACCAATAAGTTGAAAAAAATACTAAACTATTCAAAGGAAAGTTGATAAAGCAGAAACTAAAGAAATGGAAGCCTAAAGCACAGAGTGTCGGTGTTTACATGTCAGGGCATACATGGCAGTAAGGCAATACATGCTCATTGAGTACTCGCAAGTAGAAAGGGTTCTCGTAAAACTTCCCCATGTCTTCTTTTCTCTGGAAACGCATGTAGACAGCATGTGTATACTTGTCCATATTTTCATTCAAGATACGTCCTACAAATGTGATCGAACATATAAGGTCATGTTTTAATGAAAATCAAGCAACGGAAAAACGATTAAATTGAAACAAGTATTTGAGTTTCGGAAGGTTGAGACAGCATTGTTTTGACTATTGATTTTATACAAGTAAAGCTCACCTAATGATACTGCAAGAATGCCTCGCATTTGATACTGGGTTGTATAAAGAAAATCCAGCATATCCTTCTCTTCCTCATCAGATAAATCCTCCTTTGCTTTCAGTAGGCATATGTGGTCAACAACCTTTCTGAGTAAAATGGAAATTAGAGAAATGTTACTAATGTAACAAGTAACACCCATCGGCTACGTCACATGGTTAGCTAAAGTGTTACAAAAATGCAGCATTACCCCAAAGAGAAAATACAAAAGAATGCAACTTTCAGATATGGTAAAGCCAATCTCAAATTTATACAAGTAAAAATGCAAAACCCCAAATTGGGTAAAATTATATTTAAGTCTTCCTCTTAAATTTATTCATCAAAGAAAATGAAAAAAGTTGGAAGAGCCATGGAACCTTTTCTTCTGCACACTGAGGCTTGAGCTCGGCTCCTCCGTAGCCCAAACTGTCACTCCCCGATTCTTTTTCCTCCCCAACCATGTACTGATCACAACAGCTCCATTCATTCGACATGCTGAACAATAATAAATTAAATTGGAGAAAGAAACCAAAATATCATAAAATATTCACTGAATTTAAAGAAATATATATCCAAAGAATGAAATTCGTATTACCGTTTAAAAGGGGCACGGCGGGAGATGATTGGTAAACGGCGGTGAGGGTTTGTAAGGCGAATGGGAGAGAGTACGGAGCACTGAGATTGAATGAGCATCTTTCTTGCTTTGCTATCTGTGCATCTCTCTGACTCTGAGCGTGAATTTATATCAATCAAAAATAAGGGGGGCGATCTCCTCCAGTATAAAATGGGTGGACAAGGAAAAAAACCGAACTTTTAAATTGTGGGTTTTAAATTGGCGCTTAGTTATCCACATTTACCCCAAATACCCTCTTGTGTAAATATGAATTCACATTTTCTTAAAATAAGTTTAGTTTACCACAGTGGTAAGCTGCTCCTCTCCCCCTCCCCCTCTCATGGTCACCTGTTCGAAACCCAATACTGTCAATATCGATTTAACTCAAAATGAAATTGTGGTCTAGAAAATGTATGATATGGAAAAAAATAATTATATAAGATGAGTATATATTCAGCTTCAGCCACGGCAAATACTTAGAGCATAAGAAGGAGCTTCAATGAAACAAAATGGTTTGGAACAAAAAACAAAAAGACATTCAAGTCACAAATTAACAATAAAAACAAGAAGACACAAAAGGAGCTTTTCACTGTCGACAAGTTGGCATAACCCAAATTGCTGGTCGCTTAGTCCTCCCCAACAGGGCCACAGCAATTGCCGTGTAAGGCTTTGAAATGCTTTGAGTTTTGATGTTGTACATGCCAAAATCTTCAGGTACCCAAGACGAATGATAATCTGAGGTGAAGTATATGCAATTAGGCTGACATCCTGGCAATTTTGAAGCCAAAACAAACATGGAAGAATTATCACCCAAAAAAAGAGAATCATCATCCAAGGTTTCTTTCTCAATCAACTCGTGCTTATCAAAATTTAGTTCGAAAATTTTAAATTTAAATGTGACAGCCTTCCCATCTGGCCAAATACCTTTCCAAATTTTATACCTTTTCACATTCAAAAACCCTTTCTCATTGGAATCCACAATATATGTCTTGATAGAGTGGCATTGTGAACCAAACCCTCCCATAGGTGTCAAGCTTCCCCACTTTACTTCCAATTCACTTATAATTTCAAAAGATACAATTGTATCCCGAGCATCAAAACTTAAAATTCTATCATCATTATATACAGCATAAAATTTATCCCCAAGGTGAACAACTTCATGAAATCATCGGAATTCATAATCATCCTCCAAATTAAAATTAATATACGACCAATCTGTGTCTTTACCAGGTCTGATAACAGCGAAATTAGAAAAATATCCGTATATGACCGTAACAATAAAATCATGTGCATTTAAAATTGGGTCTGCTGAAATTGTAGCCTTGCGCACATAATAATCCGATTCTCTAACGTCATAAAGACGCGCTAGTGGAGGAAGGCGAATGATTGAATTTTCTTTCTCTTTACATCTGTCAACCATAGAGAATGGATTCATTAAGGTCACGATGAAATTGTAGCCTTGCGCACATGATAATCCGATTCTCTAAAGTCATAAAGACGCGCTAGTGGAGGAAGGCGAATGATTGAATTTTCTTTCTCTTTATATCCGTTAACTATAGAGAATGGATTCATTAAGGTCATGACGAAGTTCTCTTCCAGAACTATTAACCATCCTTTTGAAGACCCACAGAATCGCTTACTTGGAAGTCTTAATTGTAAATCAAGAACCTTATTATTCATGACGTTATATAAGTTCCATGTATCTTCTTTGTCAAGAAATTAAGAGCATTGGAGCTGTGTGTCGACTTTGGCTCCGATTATTCTTTGCTACACCATTCCATGTCTTACAAACAACACTTAATGCCAAATAGTCTGAAATCGATTCTAATCTCTCTAAAACTAGATCTAATAGGTCCTTAGGCAAATTTTCCCAATCTGAAAAGACAAATTAGAAAAATAGAATTAGACGGATGAAGAACAGAAAGTTCAACAAACTCAAATATTCCCAATTTGAAAAGACAAACGGGTAAAACCTCAAACAACTTGTTCTTCCACCCTGGAATGTCATAGCAGTGGGTGGATTTGAACAAGATATCAAGAATTAATTGGAGAGAGGCTGTGTCATTGGTTGTTCCTTGTCTTTATTTTTGCGCTGAATTCAAGAAGGTTACTGGTACTCATTGCAAGAACTTATCTGAGCTTAAAGTCAGGTTCCCTTTTGACATATATTTTGCAAAGGCCATGCGGCCTGCCTATACGTCAAAACCTATGATCTTTTAAGTCTTCAGAGCATAATGGCGCACAAGGAAGGTTTGGTTTTTATTTTGAACAAAATGGATCATCTAAAAGTGCTGAATATATCTCACTGCCTCCTTTTAAGAGCAACCCAGCGCTGTGGAAGTTTGACTGATCAGAATGATATAGATCCCTCAAAGAATTTTCCTCTAAATGCAGGTGAAGATTTGAAATCATACCAGACATTATGAATAAAATATACAGATCCTAGTCCTACTGTATGGTAAACACTTTTTCCTCTTATGGATTGGACTGATTAGATGGCTTTAATTTTGAACAGAGGATTTTTCAAGACACTGAGTGCACGGTAGATGGTCCTGACACCAATACATTGCACTCTTGCGTTTAGACAAAGATAGACACAGCTTCCAACCAAATATATTGCTCTTTAATACTCCTCAAGCAAATTTTCTAGTTTTCATCAAAAATCACCATTCCATGTTTTACAAACACTAAATGCCATAAGAGTCTGAAATCGATTCTAATCTCTCTAAAACTAGATCCAATAGGTCCCCAAGTTCAAAAGTTCACAGATAAGTTCACAAGTTCAAAAACATGCATCTGTGAATTCAAAAACATGCATCTGTACATCCATTCACGCTCTCAGCATTCTGCAATGACCTTCAAGGCTGCAACAATCTTCGATTAAGTTAAGGAAAACTTCAAAAACATCCTCTGTACATCTATTCACGCTCTCAGCTTTCTGCAATGACCTGCAAGTAGAAAGAGATGACAAATGCAAGATAATTTTTCTACATTTAGGAAATTACTGAAATATATTAATCATGAGAAAAACTAGGAAAACAACCTAACCCCCCTTTAACCTCTTGTTCAGCTTCCTGGATTCACGAGCGTCAGCAGGCCTCTTTGAAGAACCCGTCCATGTCTTGCTTCCGTGCATTCTCAGATATTTGTTAACAGCATCAATGTTGCGCACATCAAATTGCTTGAATAGACTCTTCAACTCATCATCAAACTCCAGTTGCTTGATTGGGTAGACCACTTCCCCCCCAACTACATTAGAATATAGTACAACGATTTCTTTCGAATGTATCAACTCCTACACATACAAAACAAAGAGTAAACATTTATACAAAAAACAAATCACACAAAAAAATGAATGAATTACAAAATTCACTCACCTTCAAATCTGAAGGAACAGAGACATACACATCAGCCAAGTCACCTAGAACAACTCCATCTGGGACACTTTCAATCCAAGAAAGCAAATCCTTCTTACATGATATATTGTTCTATATAAAAGATGAAATCGGACCATTAAAAGGCGTTAGAAATGAATTTGAAGGAATCAGACCTAAAGCTAACAGTAGTTAAAAGGCTTCAATTGATTTTCAGGTTAATACTAAAGCTAACAGTAGTTAAGAATTTAGAGTTTACCCGATCATTGAGGGACAGGTTAAGGCAATTACCAGAAATAAGGAAGCAAGAAACATCGAACTTGCTCAAATGTTCAACCTCGTGTTCATTCCGTGCGGCCAAATCTGGCCAGCACATCCCACATAATCGGCAAAAAAATTTACCATCGCCACCTCTCTGAAAAAGAGGACAATCTATCAAACAAGAGATGCCAGAATGTGTGAGAAAATTGCGCCTATCACTAAATCTCAACCCGCAAAAGCAAACATAACGGTATGAAAGTATAAGTTCCATGATTTTAGATGTTTAGGGTTTAGACAGCACTTTGAACTGAACTGACTCAGTTCAAAGGCTTTATATAACTTTGAATTTAGAATTTTATCCCTATATAAAGCCATATAAAGCCTTTGAACTGAGTCAGTTCAGTTCAGAGTGCTGTCTAAGTCCAATTGATCGATGCATTTTCTGATACTTAAGAACAACATTAATATGGCTTACGTCAATCTTGAGGAATAAGCCTTTCATCTCACCATCAAAGTCCAATTGATCGATTGGGTAGACCTCATCCCCAACTACATCAGAATGAAGTATAATGACTTCTTTGGAATGTACCAAACCCTGCACAATGTACAAAACAAATAAAAAAATTGTTAAAACAATAAAACATCGTACCGAAAATATGAATACAATACATATTTTAACTTACATATAAATACTTCATGAGAGAGACATAAAAACGAGCAGGAAAATAGAGGAGAGTAAAAACAGCTCACCCTTAATTCCACAACACAAAACTGCTCCAAAATACAAACCTATTGTATACTCATATTTGATGTAATTTTCAAAACACATTTAACTCTTCAAAGTAAAAAGTAAGAGCTGGGATCCACTATAGACATTAAATCGCATAATTGCGTCTTCAACTTGAACCAGAGCAGGTAGCTAAGAAACATGCAGTTAAAAACGAGCAGGGAAATAAACGAGAGTAAAAAAACTCACCCACAATTCCATAGCACAAAACTACTCCAAAATACAAACCTAATGTATATTCATAGTTGATGTAATTTCCAAAACACATTTAACTCTTCAAAGTCAAAAGTAGGAGCCGGGATCCAGTATAGATATTTAATCACATAATTGCGTCTTCAAGTTGAACCAGAGCAGGAAGCTAAGATACAAGCAATTAAAAACGAGCAGGCAAATAGAGGAGAGTAAAAAATGGCTCACCCTCAATTCCAAAGCACAAAACTGCTCCAAAATACAAACCTAATGTATATTCATGTTTGATATAATTTCCAAAACACATTTAACTCTTCAAAGTCAAAAGTAAGAGCTGGGATCAAGTATATAAGTTAACCAATTGCTAAGAGTCCTGTTAGAAAACGACATAAACCTTGAACCTCTTGTTCATCTTCTCATTGGATTCAGCAGCAACAACCTCTTTGAAGAACCTATCCAAGTCTTGCATCCATGCATTTTCTGATACTTAACAATAACATTAATATTCCTCACATCAATCTTGAGGAATAATCCCTTCAGCTCATCATCAAAGTCCAATTGCTCGATTGGGTAGACCTCTTCCCCTACTACATCAGAATGAAGTATAATGACTTCTTTAGAATGTACCAAAGCCTGCACAATGTACAAAACAAATAATAAAAAATTGTTAAAACAATAAAACATCGTACTGAAAATATGAATAAATTACAGATTTTAACTTACATATAAATCTGTCGTGAGAGAGACATAAAAACGAGCAAGAAATAGAGGAGAGTGAAAACTGGCTCACCCTTAATTCCAAAGCCCAAAACTGATCCAAAATACAAACCTATTGCATACTCATATTTGATGTAATTTCCAAAACGCATTTAACTCTTCCAAGTAAAAAGTAAGAGCTTCCCCATTTTACTTCCAATTCACTTATAATTTCAAAAGATACAATTGTATCCCGAGCATCAAAACTTAAAATTCTATCATCATTATATACAGCATAAAATTTATCTCCAAGGTGAACAACTTCATGAAATCGTCGGAATTTGTAATCATCCTCCAACTTAAAATTAATACACGACCAATCTGTGTCTTTACCAGGCCCGATAACAGCGAAATTAGAAAAATATCCGTATATGACCGTAACAATAAAATCATGTGCATTTAAAATTGGGTCTGCTGAAATTGTAGCCTTGCGCACATGATAATCCGATTCTCTAAAGTCATAAAGACGCGCTTGTGGAGGAAGGTGAATGATTAAATTTTCTTTCTCTTTACATCCGTCAACCATAGAGAATGGATTCATTAAGGTCACGACGAAGTTCTCTTCAAGAACTATTAACCATCCTTTTGAAGACCCACAGAATCGCTTACTCGGAAGTCTTAATTGTAAATCAAGAACCTTATTATTCATACGTTATATAAGTTCCATGTATCCTCTTTGTCACTAGAAATTAAGAGCATTGGAGCTGTGTGTCGACTTTGGCTCCGATTATTCTTTGCTACACCATTCCATGCCTTACAAACAACACTAAATGCCAAATAGTCTGAAATCGATTCTAATCTCTCTAAAACTAGATCTAATAGGTCCTTAGGCAAATTTTCCCAATCTGAAAAGACAAACGGAAAAAATAGAATTAGAGTGATGAAGAATAGAAAGTTCAACAAACTCAAATTTTCCCAATTTGAAAAGACAAACGAGTAAAACCAGAATGAACCAGAACTAAAACGCCTCCAAAATAGAAAAAATTGGAATATTATTACAGCAAAAATTTAGATTAAAAGAAAGGTATATAACTAATAGAAAAACAAGAATAATTTCTTGGAAAAGACATACCTGAATCCATAGCTGTTTTCTTTTTGGGTTTTCCCGACGAATCCATCGCTTTTCTCTTTTTGTTTTTTTCCCATGAATCCATAGCTTTCAAGACTTGTTTGAAATGTACCAAAGCCTGCACAATGTAAAAAACAAATAATAAAAAATTGTTAAAACAATAAAACATCATACCGAAAATATGAATAAATTACAGATTTTAACTTACATATAAATCCGTCATGAAAGAGACATAAAAACGAGCAGGAAAATATAGGAGAGTAAAAAACAGCTCTCCATCAATTCCACAGCACAAAACTGCTCCAAAATACAAACCTATTGTATACTCGTATTTGATGTAATTTCCAAAACACATTTAACTGTACAAAGTAAAAAGTAAGAGCTGGGATCCAATATAGACATTAAATCACATAATTGTGTCTTCAACTTGAACTAGAGTAGGTAGCTAATAAACATGCAGTTAAAAACGAGCAGGGAAATACAGGAGAGTAAAAAAACTCACCCTCAATTCCAAAGCACAGAACTGCTCCGAAATACAAACCTAATGTAATTTCGTAGTTGATGTAATTTACAAAACACATTTAACTCTTCAAAGTCAAAACTAGGAGCTGTGATCAAGTATATAGGTTAACCTATTGCTAAGAGTCTTGTTAGAGGACAACCTAAACCTTGAACCTCCTGGTCATCTCCTCATTGGATTCAGCAGCAACAATCCTCTTTGAAGATCCTATCCAAGTCTTGCATCCATGCATTTTCTTATACTTAACAACAACATTAGTATTTCTCACGTCAATCTTGAGGAATAAGCCCTTCAGCTCATTATCAAAGTCCAATTGCTCGATTGGGTAGACCTCATCCCCAACTACATCAGAATGAAGTATAATGACTTGTTTGGAATGTACCAAAGCCTGCACAATGTACAAAACAAATAATAAAAAATTGTTAAAACAATAAAACATCATACCGAAAATATGAAAAATTACAGATTTTAACTTACATATAAATCCGTCATGAGAGAGACATAAAAACGAGCAGGATTATAGAGGAGAGGAAAAAATGGCTCACCCTCAATTCCAAAGCACAAAACTGCTCCAAAATACAAACCTATTGTATACTCATATTTGATGTAATTTCCAAAACACATTTAACTCTTCAAAGTAAAAAGTAAGAGCTGGGATCCAGTATAGACATTAAATCGCATAATTGCATCTTCAACTTGAACCAGAGCAGGTAGCTAATAACCATGCAGTTAAAAACGAGCAGGGAAGTACAGGAGAGTAAAAAACTCACCCTTAATTTCAGAGCACAAAACTACTCCAAAATACAAACCTAATGTATATTCATAGTTGATGTAATGTCCAGAACACATTTAACTCTTCAAAGTCAAAAGTAGGAGCTGCGATCAAGAATATAGGTTAACCTATTGCTAAGAGTCTTGTTAGAAAACAACATAAACCTTGAACCTCTTGTTCATCTTCTCATTGGATTCAGCAGCAACAACCCTCTTTGAAGTACCTATCCAAGTCTTGCATCCATGCATTTTCTGATACTTAACAACAACATTAATATTGCTCACGTCAATCTTGAGGAATAAGCCCTTCAGCTCATCATCAAAGTTCAATTGCTCGATTGGGTAGACCTCATCCCCAACTACATCAGAATGAAGTATAATGACTTCTTTGAAATGTACCAAAGCCTGCACAATGTACAAAGCTCGGCCCAGCCCACCCATAAAAGCCCGGCCCACGGGCTCACATACATATAAATAATTTATAATAAAAAAAAACCCAAGTTAAATGAAATATGAAGAAAATCATTATCTATTATCATTGTAAGAACTAAAAAAATGAAGTAAGAGATAAAATACGATTTTATTAATATGGGGTTGTATAACTATATCTTTTTATTTATGGGGAAAAAAGAAGAGAAACTATGTAGTTATGAACAAAGAAAAAAATGGAGACATAAACATATAGACAATGTAAATAGAGAACTATGAAAAAAGAGGAAACAAAGAAACACACCAAAACATAGAAAAAATAATAAAGAATTGACCAAAAAATACATATTAAAAAAAAAAGACAATAAAGTAGGCCCATTTAGGCCTAGCCCAACTCGATGGGCTTTTTCAAGCCCGCCCATGAGCTAGGCTTAGGCTTTGAATTTTCAAAAAAACCTGGCTTGACCCAGACCTTTATTTTCCCTCTCCTCTTTAAATCCTAGCCCAACCTAGCCCAATGACGAGGCCTACTATATATAACAAGTCAACATGCAAACACCATCTAATTGATTTTGTCTTGTTAAATCTAAATATAACAACAATAACTAGGGTTTAGGGTTTACTTGATCAATGAGGGATAACTTCAGGCGATTGTCAGAAAGAAGCAAGGAAGAAACTTCAAACTGTTGATTCCAATGTTCAACAGCCTGATGATGGTTATGTCTAGCCAGCGCAAACCACAGATTTGGCAAAAACATTCACATTCGCGACCTCCTCGGAATAGAGGGGAGTAGGTAAAACAGGCAATGACGGAATGAGAAAGAAGATAGCGTCTGTTGCAAAATTGAAAACCACAAAAGCAAACAAATCAATAAGAAAGTGGAGGTGGATTTGAAATTGTTGTCATTGTTTCGGTTGTTTAGGGCAGACAACACTTTGAACTGAAGTGAAACTCAGTTCAAAAGCTTTAAATAAGGACGAAACCCTATAAAAAAAATTAAAAAATAATTTGATTGTAAACTGGCGATTTTGTTAGGGAATGGATTCGGCTTAACGGGCCTATTTATTTTATGAAAAACCAGCGATAATGGCCCAAAGAAATGGCCCAGCCGATAACAGAAGAAATATATGAAAAATTGAAAAAACTAAATATAACAACCATTGTTTTTTTTTAACAGAAGAAATTGAATGAAAAATTAAAAGAAACACCAACCGTCAGATCCGAAGAAAAAAAATTAATAAAAGAAATAAAATGAAAATTGAAAGAAACTACCAACCGTCAGATCCAGGCTTTAGGCCTTCTCCTCCTCCTCCTCCAGCCAATCCACAGAGGCATTTGAGGAGATAGGGAGTGCATAGGGCAAAGAGATGGACAGATTAGGAAGAGATGGACATAATAGATGGAGATGGTGCTGGTGCTGGTGCTTGGTGAAGGAAATGGAGAACAAAGGGTGAAAGATCTTGGTTGGGAGACATAACCGATCAACAGAATAAACAGAATAGATGGAGAGGGAGAGCAAACGGAGAAGAGAAGAGGGAGAGAGATAATTGAGAGGGCTATTGGTAGAGGAAAAGGAGAGCAAGGGAGAAGAAAGGAGGGAGAGAGATAATCGAGAGGGTTCCTGATAGAGGAAATGGATAGCGAAGAGAGAAGAGAAGAGGGAGAGAGATAATTGAGAGGGTTATTGGTAGAGAAAATGGAGGGCAAAGGAAGAATAGAGGAGGGAGAGAGATAATCGAGAGGGTTCCTGGTAGAGGAAAGGGAGATAAGGAGAGCAAAAGGGAAAACATACGGAGATAAAAGGGGATTGGGAGATATAATCGAGGAGCTGCTTGGTTGGGATAAAGATAATCGAGCTAAATAGGGTCGTTGCTTAGTTGAGAGATAGAGAATACATTCTAGAGATAAGGGAATTGGGAAGGATAAAATTAGGAGTGGGCATGGTCCGGTTCTCACCTCAAATTGGAACCGAAATTGGTACTATTTAACCGGTCCAGTTCGATCCGATTTAAGCAATTTTTTTTTAAAAATGGCCGGTTCGGTTTTGACCAATTCCGATTTGGCTTAAAAATTAACAAATGATCCAATTCATACAATGAGAAATTTTTTGAAGTTGAACTTGGAAAAATGTTAATTATAAAATTTAAAATATAACATTGGATTCTAAAATTTGTAATAAAATTTAAAAAAATAATACCGGTCTAATTCGGTCTAATCCGGTTTGGTGCGGTGTAAAACCGGAAACCGGTCAAAAAGGTTCACCAACATAAATAGAGGGAATATGCATTTTTTCTTTTTAAACTTAGTTGGTTGGTTGGTTGGTTTAATAAACAATGTGATTGAGACGACTCGGTTGCATGTTGGCTCGATAAATATGCCAACAGAAGGAAATATCTATTTAATTAACATTTTATTAATTAAAGAAACGAAATCCAACCCTAATATTGTCACATCCCGGGATCGCCTCTGCCGTAGCATGATATTGTCCATTTTGGGCCCCCCCTCTCTGCCATCACGGTTTTGTTTTTGGGAACTCACGAGTAACTTCCCAGTGGGTCACCCATCCTGGGATTGCTCTAGCCCCAACTTGCTTAACTTCCGAGTTCTTATGACTCCGAAGCTAGTGAGCTCCCAAAAGACATCATGCTAGATGGAGGCGGGCATGTACATATAAGGCACATCACCCCATCTCTGTTGGTCGATGTGGGATATTACAATCCACCCTCCTTGGGGGCCGACGTCGTCTTCAGCACATTCGCATCACACATAGAGTGGCTTTGATACCAAATTTTCACATCCCGAGATTGGCTCCGCCATAACACAATATTGTTCGCTTTGGGCCCCCCCTCTTTGCCCTCACGGTTTTGTTTTTGGGAACTCACGAGCAACTTCCCGGTGGGTCACCCATCATGAGATTGCTCTAGCCCCAACTCGCTTAACTTCGGAGTTCCTATGACTCCGAAGCCAGTGAGCTCCCAAAAGGCCTTGTGCTAAATGGAGGCAAGCATGTACATATAAGGCACATCACCCCCTCCCCGTTGGCCGATGTTGGATATTAGAAATACACCTCCCTTTCCACTCAATTTGAATTCTCCTCGATAGAGTAACCATTATAAAACAATGAATGGCTTTGATGACATCCACAACCCGTTTTTAGTATTAAATATTTATTATTTTAACATTATTAATGTTGTTGTTTGTATACCATTTCCAAGGGGTAGGATAATAATATATTATTGGGAAATGATTTACAAGATTGTGCATCAAAGCAATTGTATTGTATGTCGTGCATTTATGAAAAGGTTTGTTGATTTATATATTAAATCCCTAAAAATAAGGCATCCATGAAATAAGCCAATTTCTAAGCCTCAATTTTAGGGATTTAATTGATGTGGTTGATATAAAGCAATTCACAATAACACACGATATGGTAATTTTTGAAATTTAAATCTTACCCCAAAAGAAAAAGAAAAGAGATCCCAAAGATTCTTCCTTTTATATAATTATTTGGATACATGCATTTTATTTTTATTTTTAGTTGTGATGTTTTAAGTGAGTTTTTACTTTAGGAGAGTTTTTCCATATGATATTAAGTTTGGGTTTTTGTAATATTGCAAATTATTATGTATTGAGAAATTGTAGGCAAAGGCTGGTTCCATGTGTAAATCAAAAATAAAAATCACTCTCTTAAAAAAAGTCTTTAAAAATTACCCCTTTAGAGTACAAGGTATGACTATTTTAAAGTTTAATATAATTTGGTGTGTATGCCCTTGAAATTCGATGTAAAAAACTAATTTTGGATAGACAATCGCAAACAAATACAAAATAAACTACGCATCGTTTACTTAATATAAGTTTTTGGCATAATTTTATTCTTGTTTTTTGGTTTTGGAAACACACATAAGATTTAACTGCTCTAGTGCCTCTTGAAAGTGTAGTCATGTGTCACATGCCCTGAAAGTCAAAATGACCCCATACCCTATTGACCGTTCTATTTCAGCCCTCACATCATAACGGTGCGTTTGAATGAGGGAAATAAACTTAGGATTTTGACAAAAGTTAGAATGTTTAAATTGACATGAAACCAATTTCCGTGTTTAGATATAAAAAAAAGAGTGCTTCCAATATAAGCCCATACAACTGATATCCCTTAGACATAAACCCATCTATCTATATATTATGTTGAAAAACCCAATTTCAAATTGTAATGCACCCTAAAATGAAAGATGTCCTAATATTGAATTTATTTACATTAGTTGCCATTGTAGGTAAACAACGCATCTAAAGTATCTGACCGTTTACAAAAAACTCAAAACTGCCGTTTCAAAACTTTTCAGTTTACCATCATTTCAGCCTTGATCCGTTCCCTCCATTGAAACCACAGATTCTCCACATTAGATTCCCCCAAACCCTCTAATGTCGTTCAAAAACTGTGTTCGCAGGTACATTCCTTTCATCAGCCCAGTCGTAAAGAGAATACGAGAACGACCGAAGCATTCGATTCCGGAGCATTCGTCACCGACTAGCAAGCGTGAGTGGTTTGCCGTCAAATAGCAGGTAAAAAAAAGTCTCTTTCTCTCACGTACATGGAGCCCCCATCAATTCTTAGTACTAACCAGAGCAAAACCAGAGGAAGATTGGTTATGTACCTACACCAAATTCTGGTCTTGATTTTTGGTTTTTTAAAACCTGTTTATTACGTACAGCCTATTTGGGTATCTGGTTATGTAGTTTTGCTCCTTTTGTGAAATTGTTTTGTGATCTGTGACATATTGATCACACTCTTAGTTTGCTAGGTTTTGGCGCACACAACGTGTTTGATGAAAGTCCCAGTATGGTTGTTTATGTATCATTTTTTGAGATACTATTGTTATGTATATGTACCTACACGAATTTCTGGTGTTGATTATTTTTCCTTTTCTTTGTTGGATGCTTTCATAGTAAAACGACAAGAAAGAACCTGGGCAATTAATATAGAGTTCTGAACGCTTTTGAGAGGGGTTTGATTCTT